TCACTTTCCCTCCACAGAATCCCAAGAAGAGACAAAGGAAGTTCAAGATCAAATTAATAACGTGACAGAGAAAGTGTTTCCACCACCAATGATCTTATCATTATATCACACGATCACACAGATAGCGAATACTACCGTGGCGAGGCTCGGACGAAATACGCTAATTAAAGAAGACTCATACTTACGCTAAAATTCATGGACTCGTTACCGACAATTATCGGAAATCACTTAGTGAATAGGGTGACATTGGGCATGCGACCCTCGTACAAAGGGACTCAATTTAGCCTCTTGGTTGCCGGGCATATTAATCACCTCACGCCCAACTTCCGTGTCTTTCATTTATCACTCGCGATTCGCGTGACATTCTGATAGAGGTCCGCATGCGCGTACTGCTTTTGACAATTGCGGAGAAAGTGATGGAGGAGTCACCGTAACCACCTATAATGGCACCGACTGCCAAATGGATGCTCCTTTGTTTTTTCCTTTGTGTTTTCACGAGATTCGTATTTTTGTGCATTGGGATATTCTCCAGCCGGGCATTTTCGAGTTATTAATAACAAGCGCGTGATAATACTCGTCGTAGAAATTAATTTCATCTGGTTTGTAGGGCGGAGTTTTGACGCTATATTAATTATTATAGTTGATGGGTCAAGGCAGTTCCGAGTGTAGAAAAGAAATGAACGGCTCTTTCATGCTTATATTACTTCAACGTGTTTGCGAACATTTAAATTTAACGTATTTATCATATTCATGACACTTTTCACATTTTATCAAAAAGCTAATCCTACAGATTGAATATGATATGTAAGGGCTTTTGTAATAATTTTTCATGTGAGTTTTTTTTTTTTTTTTTGTTAAAAACTTTTGAAATTAAAAAAAATAGTTATCTCTATTCAGAATTAAACGTCGTGAAAAGAAATTGTAAAAAACTGTCAAACGTTCAATTTAACAACTTGTAAAATTAATTCGATATCGTGCTGAATATCAATAATTTTTCACCTAGGCGTTTTAATAAATTTTTGCTACGCCAATTTTTTGAAAATTATGCTGCATCGATTTATTTCAGTTATTTAAAGAGTTACAAAGTCAATGAATTATATAAATAATAGTACACATATTATTAACAATTATTTATTCTACGTTACTATAAATTATCAAGTAAGAAAATGAAAAGAGATAATTATCAAGACATATAGTATGTAACGATAACAATTGATAATGACGATAAATTGAAAAATTATAATTTTCCTACTTTGAATAAGTATTTCTTGAATACGACGTTCTACCGAAATACATATTACTCATACTATCATTTTGAATATCACATACTACGTTCTGTGTGAGAATAATGTGAGATTGCGTACGATTGCAAAACCAGAAGCAGTAAATATGACTCACCTTCCAAAGCAATGTATTTTCAAGATGACACAGCGTCAAATCTCTCACTCCCTATACGAATATGTATGATTTTAGTCCTAGAAAGTGTATTTGTAGATAGATGCTCCATATCTACGTAGTTCAATACTATGGAGTCTTGATATTATTCAACTAGTGCAAAGACAACCAGGGTTCCTGTGAATTTAGTAACAGACAGCCAAGTCAAGTGCCGCACCTTGTACTATAAATTTCTGAGAAATAATCAACAATTAGATTAGTCTATTAATATATTAAATGTAAATGTGTATTTAAATTATTATACATTTATTAAATTTAAATTAAAAAATACAGTGTGTAAATTATTTCTGTTATCAGACCGCGAATATATGTATTTTCAAGAAATTAAATATTCTTAGTTAATAATTTTATTGAATTAAAATCAATTTTATGAAAGTTCTTCAGAAAAAAGGTAAAAAGTTCTTTTCCTTTCTATGGAACAAGTTGAAGACTTATTTTTACAATAACTTGTCATTGTAATTGACAATTCAATAATTGGAAAGTTAAAGGAAATTTATTTTATGTTGTGCCAAGTGACTTTTTTTAGAAAATAAATTAGTTCAAAGAAAAACAAGTTTAAATATAGTAGAAAATACACAATATTATAGAGAGAAATGAATGGTTCTCTCAATTTTATAATACAAATTCATAATAATACCCATTATTTAATATTGAGTCATTATATTTTATTTGCAGTCTTTAATAATGTACTGAATACTTTATTATATTCCTAATAATTATTTACTAGTTGTAAATCTTTTTTTTTTTTATATATAACGGTTATAGCATTAATATATTTATATTGATTAATAATTAAAATTAAGTGCATTCAACATTATGTTGTACAATAAGGGAGTCATTAACTTTACTTTAACTATATAATAAATTATTATATCGTTATAGGGATAGAAGCTTAAAGTATTAGATTGATTATGTAATTATTTAATTTCATCTTTTAAGATATTCATTCATAAACAATATTTTCTTGTAATACTACAAATTTAACCAAAAATTATCTAGCTGAAGAAGAAAAGATTGAATTAGCCGTATATAAGTATTGCTTAGTTAATTACTTGGAAATCTATAGTATCTGCCCTTTAAAAAAAAAAGCTTTGAATGTAAAATTTTTAGAGTAGACGGAACGTGTTACGATATCGAGGAAAGCAGAAATGAAACTCACCGAGTGACTCTTAATGCCAGACTGACTACTATTCCAATGGTCTTTACTGTACAATTACTTTTTTAATTCTAAAGTTTCCATTTTTAATTAAGTACATCTACCTACTTATGAGAAGAAGGTCCAGTTATTTCGTCAATCATAGTACCAGATGGACTGCATATGTATGAAGAAGAATGGGAATAGTTGAATGCACATATATAGTATATATAAGAACTCTTGGACTCCCATTTATATTTTTAAACAATGGTTTAGCTGGGAATATAATTTCTTTCGACCTTTACTTTAATTTAACTAACAACTATCTTTTGGCAGAAAAATTCAATAAATAATTTAAGTTAAATATTAAAAAAAAAAATAGTATTTTCAATTACATTTTGTATTTTTTATTATCTAACATTAATTAACCAAATTTTATGTATAATTAGATTTATAATTATAAGATATTTATAATTATTTATTGAATTATCAACTTACTAATGAATTATCAAATTACTAATATTTCTTACCAATATCATAAGTATTCTCTTAACAGATATTTAAAATTCATATATACCAAACTAATCGCTAATATTTTTTAAATCGTTAATTTATATGTTGAGTCTGCAAATTATGGATGGAATAATGAAAAGTTTAACACACTCTATGCATAAGTATTTAATCTAATATATATAATAAATTATCGTATATACAAATTCTGATTTACTCCAATATTATATATGCTAACGTGAGTCCTAATAAAAATACCTATTAAATGAGCTGCTATCAGTGAGCACATTTATATTATCGGTTGTGATTAACTGTTTTGAGAATTTCATTATTTCAGATCGTCCGAGGTGACGATAATATCGATAGTGATGAAGTGAAACCTCCACCTCTTATAACACCGCCACCACCAAATCCAATTAGTAAGTTTGAAAGTAAATGTCAAAGCTACCATACAAATCACTTACGTAAATATAGTAATATTAATAATAATAACGAATTTAATTTATTTGGTTTTTGTCATTGTTGGAAAATGTATTACACGTAGAATTAATTATTTAACGTACTCTAGTAAATCACTGATCAAAGGATTAAGATTACCCAAATTGGTATCACTTTGCCGCACATTTTAAGGAGAGTACGATTGAAACGCTGACGTTATCCTTTTCAGCCAAAGAAGTGACTAAAGGAGAGAAAGGCGAGAAAGGGGAAAAGGGCGAGAGCATAAGAGGTCCACCGGGTCCACCAGGCTCAGGCTATGATCTCAATGATGAGGTAAGACGACTATTTGGAGAGCTTATGCAATTTTAATAATATCAGAATAATTTTAACATAATTTAAGAATATTTAATTTTAATACGTCCTTCATTTTTAATTTATCTTACGCTATTTCAATGGAAATGTATATAAGAATATAATTTTACATTGATATTCTATTAAAATAATGCTCGATCAATTATGTAAATTTTTCAGTTTTAGTAAACAAGTAAAAACTTTACTAACATCATAATTTATTTACAAATTTGAAAAAATAAAATATTATATTTATGCTTATTTTCTTTCACATTAATTACTTAAAACTCGTTAGAATTTAATTGTATAATAAAATGATTCGATTTTTCTTCTTAATATTGGAATTGAATATAGTTTTTATTACATATATATTTCAACGGTATAAGTAGAAAAAGTAATGAAAGAGAAGAATGAAATATAATTAAAGTTAAGAGGAATGTATTGAAAGGTAGTGAAATATGATGTAAATAGAATAATATTTTAAAAGGTTTTGTTACAATTCTAATCTGAAATGGTGTTTTGGAAAATTTGACTTATTTTTAGGAGTGGGCATCGAAATTACCCTTGGGTCCGCCTGGCCCCAAAGGAGATCCTGGTGATTGCACCTGTGATCCAAAGTCGTTGCTGTCATCCCTTACGATGTCAAAATTGGTTCAGGGTGAAAAAGGCGAGTCTGGAGAACCGGGAAAAGAGGGAAAACAAGGACCGCTTGGATTGACGGTATTTTCATCTACCTTCTTCCCCAACTCTATTCTTGCTCTTCTATTGCGACTGACTTCATATTTGACATTTTTATATATTTTATACTGTTTTCATACGTTATGAATTATAAAACGAAATAGAAAAAATAAGTTGTTTCAGAAACTACAGGATAAACGAGTCCTAAATTACAGCTTACTGGGGTGACTATGAATATTATATTGATTCCTTATAAAGTTTTTAATATTCATGTATTAATATATTTTTCAATATTTAATCGTAATATTTATTTCATTTATTTTATTTAATGTAATGATTAATAACACGAAACTTTTAATAATTTTACAGTAATTTTTAATCCATTGATAAATAGTTTTACTTCTATACTGACTCATTTCGTAACAGACTGCATCTTAATAAATGTCAAACTTTTTATTATCTTAACAACTAATTTAAATAAACATGACCTTTCTTTTTAAGTTGAAATAAATAAGAAAAGTTAAACATTACTAACGTGAATTTTAATGCATTTTCATGCAGTAATGAAAATCTTTTGGTAAGTTTTTTCTAGATTAAATAATTGAATGAAAAACATGCACGAAGTATATATTAATAGGTTAATGATAATAAACAATAATAAACTAAGAAGTAATTTATACTCTGTATATATATATATATATATATATATATATATATATATATATATATATATAATAAATATTTTACGTCTAGTAATTATAAAAGATCATGTGTAATAACTTAAGCTAATAGATATTTTGAACCTTTTATTCGTACTTTTTTGTAAAATGTTTTATATATAAGTACAAATTATTTAAATTGTATATAATTATGCAATTAGTATAAGGTCTTTTTAATTATTCTAATCATAATGACAGAATATATACGAGTACATTATTTTCTCAATTATATTAGGCCATTAAAACATTCAATAATATTTAATTAATAAATATAAATGTTGACAACATTTATAGTAATACAGAAATAATATGGCATTTGTAAATAAACTATATTTTATGAGAAATAATTGAATTAATTGTCGTAGGAAATAACATTTCAAAATCGCGGACCAAATATTTCATCAATAGTCTCTATTGTACTAGCCATTTGCTCATTTGACGGGGTATGAACTTATAAAAATATTATGATATTGAATGAAACGGAATTTACAATAATACATAATATAATAATACATTAAAAAAAGAAATCAATTTCTAGTTAATAATTAGTATAATAGGCGAATATAGTTGCAATAACGTGCGCGGCCAAAGTACGTGTCAGAGATGCCCTTAATTTCAAATGATGTAGTGAGGACTTGCAGTGGCAAAACTATCTCTAAATTATGATTGAGGAATGCGAGGTGTGCGCAAGCTAGCAGATTGATTCAAATTATTCGTATTTGTAATATTTATACTTTTGACCTTATGCGGATATCGCAATTAAAAAGCATTATCTCGCAAGGTGGTAGTGAGATGGGAAGTTGAGTAAAGATTAGAGCGTAAGAAGATAGCCAGCAAAGGGAGGAGTGCAAGGAAACACGAGGGTACTCTATAAAGGATAATTAGGATAAGTGCTTCGGATGTTCTGTCGAGTTGGATTATCGAAGGAGTTGAACCTCAAATCAGAATGCGCACAACAATTTATATACTTTGGATGTTCTATGTCCGTCGTTACATGAAGCTGCCGGGCTTTTCGGCCCCATGTTTTTCTGGCAGTTTCCCACTCCGTCAGAACGTTCGATTAATTTGTAAAATAAAACAAAAGTAACAATAAAATGTAAAATACAATAAAGTGACAATGAGATTAATGTAATGTAAAACTTTGGCATTATTGATCATAAATCGGATCAACTCCCTTGGTAAAATAATTTTTGTAAAATAACGATTGTATTAACAATAATATTGATCCATTGCACAATTTGCACTATTAACTCGTAAGATCCAGAGAAGTATTAATGAATAACACAATGAACACATACACACATACACGTGCCCACATATACTAGACAACAAATCAAAGTCCCACGATGGCAAAACGAATAAACTCGAACGTTTTGTTGTTTGACTTGTATAGGGAGTAGCGGGACCGCCAGGTGAACGCGGACAACAGGGTCAGCCGGGCCCGAAGGGCGACAAGGGTGAGCTTGGGATGATCGGACCAGAAGGGACCCAAGGCCAGAAGGGCGAGCCTGGAAGGGACGGAGTCGCGGGTGAGAAGGGCGCCCAAGGGCCGCCCGGACCACCTGGGAAGGGAGAGTTTGCCGGCTACGACGTGAGTCTTATTTGCGAATTCGTTTGCTTATTATAATTGCTTATTATAATTATAATTCATTATTATAATATTCCAACGCTTAAAAAGCTTGCATCTTTGTTATTAAATAAATGAACGCGATCGAATAGAAGCATTTATTTGCTAATCAAGCTCAATTGCAGAGATATTTTATCATAATGGCTTTTAATTTCACAAATTAATTCTCACTCGAATGAGCGTACAAATGCAACTCTACTTATATTCGAAAATTTCATTTCTAGCAGTAAAACTTGCTTTATCATCGATTGTTAAAAATTTTTATTCGTATATTCGTCGTTAGTTCATTTCCATATAATTTATATATTTTACGTAGCTGTTATGGCTTATTATTATCTACCAATCTCCAATCAGATTTCAAATCTCAATATAATTTTAATAACCTTAAAGTACTTCTGATTATTATTATTGACAAGGAATATTTTAATTGTATTTTTAAACATTTTAACGCGTAAGGTATTTATTACTTATGGTAATGTACATTAATATAGATTTTCAATTTGTTGAAATGAAAATGTTATTATATCATCATGTAAACACCTTATACGTTCAATTTAATTAGCTACCGAAACTAATTTATTTTTCATAATTTTCATATACTTTACAAATACAACTTTACAACTACTTTTTATTCTTAAACTATTCTTAGAAATAATCTATTAAAAAATAATATTTATTATACCTAATTTAAATAAAATACTGTTAAAGAAATGAACGGAATGGTTTTATTCACATATTACACTTCATTCAGGATTTATGACCTAATAACATAGCGATTAAATATGTAATATATAATTTAATTAAATAGAATATATAATTGCAATAAAGTATATCTTGAATAATATTATAATTTATTTCATTAACAAAAACAGGAGTTTTTTAAAATTACTATTATTTTTTTAACATTAAATAGAAAGACATACTTTCGTATATATGTTAAAGTACTAAATTTAAAATTTCATCGATAATGCACATTGAACATTTATATTTTACAATAAATTATCACGGTATTATAAATTGTATAATTATGTAAAAATCTTTATAGTCTTTTCTATGATTGAAATTGCAGATTTTTACTAAAAATTGTATATAATTTAAAAGATGAAACTAATTATTTGAAAGATAAGTTTCAATTTTTTTAAAATTAGAATCATCAAATAAATCTATTTGTTACATAAAAATAAATTGGTAAGATAAATTTGGACTTGTAGTATTACATGTATAATGAATAATAACTTGAATCGACTTTTATATAATTATTTGTTTAGACCATTTGTATATAATTAAATAATATTTGAAAATACGAATAAATTACCGTCAAAATTTTGTCATATGAAACGGAGTCCTATTTTTAAAATAATTTTCAGTTATTTTTCAAATATAGAAATTACCAATATTATTATTTAAAATTTTTGTCTTGTTCAGTGATAGAGAAGAAAAATTAGCTATAAATTGTTTTACCTTTAGACAACAATAATGGAGCAGAAAATGAAAAATTCATTTATTATTAATAAACTGTATGCAAAATTTTACTAATATTTCTATTAAATTTTCAATATTTTGCATTATATATTATATAAGAATATAATGTGGGAGTATTATTGAATGAAATAGCCTAATTAATTTTATGTACACAAAGAATTTGATATTATATCATTATAAAAATTTTTTAAATTCTTAAAGTATTATACATCATTTTCTTTATATCTACCTAAAGTAGATATAAAATCTACTATTATAGTATAAAACTATAGCATATAAAAAGAAATTCTAATATATGAAATATTAATAGTTATTACCTTCCTTTTGAAATTTTTGATAATATATTTTAAACAAACTGATTTAATATTGAAAAAAAGTATCTGATTTGTGTAATAAATTATTGTAAGATTTTTATGCAAATAATTAATAAAATTAATTTAATTACTGAAGCTCTTCAAAATATTCGGTTACAATATGAATATTCAAAATGGAAATTGAAATTTTTAAGTTACTATTGCAATAATAATATACTTGAATGTGTTAAAAAAAATAGTGGAATCCACAGGCTCGAATTTATCGATATACATTTCTTTTCATAGTATGAAGCGAAAGAAAATAGAAATAGTAATCGATATATATATATATATAAATAAATAGTAATCGATATATATATATATATATATATATATATATTGAGATAGTCATGGTTAGTATATAAATTCTTAGTATGGTATTAATATAATATTTCAAAATTTTCTTAATTTCTTCACTATTTGTTTATATTTTCAGAAGTAGATATTTTATGCGATAAAGTATTTCAACTTTTGAAAAATGCTTCTTAAAAATAACGTTATTTTTTAATAGTTTACTTAATATTAAAAAAAAAAGTATGTGTAAAAAAATCCATCAAATTACTAAAAAATGTGTTTATTTATAAATAACTAAAATAAACGAAATTCATTTTTCATTCCCATGTCCATCATAAAATAAATATTATTTATTTTTCATTAATCACTAGTGATAAAACGAAAATTTCAAAAATTTGGAGTAAAACTAGTATTCTACATAGAATCTCATTTTTACAACTTTATAAGTAAATCTGAAGGAACGTTAAAAGTTTAAAATTCTAAGTTTTCCATCAAAACTTGAACTATTTTTCATAAATGCCTTTTTTATTTTGTAAAAAGTTAAGCTATTTGAAGCATTAATCTTCTTCAGATAATCTAATATATTTAATTATGAAAATTTATTGTTATTTAATTATTAGTATTTTGTATATACGTATACATTCATCTTAGATATTTTAATCATATAATTGAACCAATTTTATTTAATAATTACATTACATATATTAATTACAATAATAAATAATTACATTACAATAAATACATTAATTATATCGAATATACATTGATCGGTATTTATGTATGATTTTTATGTTGAGTTAACGCTTGTGTTCGTGGCTTATTGTTTTATTCTATTCTATAATTTATTTAAAGTCACAATTATGGAAAGATTCTACAAATATTTAATAGAATAATAATATATATCAGTAATATTCATTAATGAACATTATATTTTCTTTACCATAAGTACTTTTAAAACTATCGCCCCATATAATTATGTTTAAAATTTTGTATATATATACATATATAATTTCTGATAACATATAATATATATTTGGAAAACTGTATTAACTTTTTATGGATATCCTATATGAATTTCTATTCGATTTAGAATATTTATTCAATAATGGAATATATCACTAGTTACATGTTACTATCAGTACCTGAATGTTTACCGACAATTCACAGTCCAATAGAAAAATTCTAATACATAAAGGAAGAACAGAAAAGGAGAATTTATTTTTAAAATCTCTTTTTTTCAAATATACGAGTTTCTTCAATATATTGTAACAATGCATCGTCACAACGAATGTTTCTTGGTACTTAATATATTTATTAATTTAGTAAAATGCTTTTAATTTCTTATATAGTCTCTTATTTGTTGTCAAAGTGAGTAATTCCGTTTTGGACAAAACGGTATCATTCGTAAAAAAAGTTGACTTTTCATAAAAAGACTTTTCGTATCTTTCGGAATATAACACAGTATGGAGGCCATTCGATTTCTCAAGAAAATCAGAAAATGGAAACGGAACTTACATATAGTACCCATGGGGATACGAAGGGCAGTAGACTAGCGAGCATTGCTCGTTGCATGATGGCAGATGATATTCTTCCACATCCCTTCCGTGTTTTATCCTTCACTCGCATCGCCCATTCTCTTTTGTAAGTTTTTCACTTTTTTCATTATTCTACGTTCGCCATTTTATCTTACTCTCTTACAGTCTTATACAGAAACTCTTTACTTAATTATATATTTTGAAATATAAAATGTAAGCCAGATACATAACTTCCCCTTTTGTTTATTACTTTGGTTTACTTTTACTCTTAGACTGTTATCATTAGCATTGAGGAACTTAATTAGTAGGGTTTGATAAGTTTATACTTTATTTAAACAAATTTTTATTATAACATTTATTCTAAAGATTGTTTCAACTATGATATTAATATACATATTTAGATAAACATTTGGAAATGATAATTTAATTACAGGAAATTGATTTAATGCCGAAAATTGAATGTAAATTTAAATTTACTTATTTACGAATTCGGTTACTCGAATGAGAGACTGGACATTAAAAATAATAAAGGTACAAATATAGTGCAAGGTATTATTGGTAAAAAAAATCATTGATATTAATCTTAATATTTATTATATTTTAGTTTTAAAATGTTGATTATTTCTCTATTTAAATTTTTATCATATCGGACTTTTCTATTGATGAATAGACAGTATCAATGGCCATAATTGTCTTGCGAATTAATATTATATTTAAAACAATTTGTTACAAATGAATTTATGAATTTTTATAATTTTAGCTATTTAAGAAACTGCGACTAAAATGTCAAAAAATAATAAGTACACGTAACGTGCATGAAAAGAATAAGCAATATGATGAGGATACCGTAGGAAAAGGCTGCAGAGTAATATATTTTCAATATAGGTTTTTTTTTTTAATGACGGTCTCGAAGAAAAGACAGTTTTGCTATAAATAAAGATTGGCAACTTAGATATTCTAAATCAAAGAATAAATATTGGACTGAAAATTCAATGTTTACCATAATTTAATATTCAATAAACAAATCAATATATAATTTCTTATCTATATTAAAAAGAAAAATACGTCTCTCGTAGCAAATTTTTATATGATTTAATTATTTGAAAATAAATGCATTTTTACAGAATATTCAATAGAATAGTAAATTAGTTTTATTGATTTCTTTGAAATACATAAATTTTATTTATATCATTATGTTAGAATAAATACTAATAGGTACTGAGTTCCAAAGAAATAATTAATTATTATGCATTATTGAAATTTAAGGGTGTTAAAATTATTATTGTATATAAAGTTTTTA